TGAGACCGTAATTAAGCACACACTTTGTCCAAACAACTCTTGTTTTATTTCAATGCTGGGAATTATGTTCATTCCCAGCCTGTAATGAGTCCCAAACAATCTCTCGAGATAAGCACCCACTTTTATCTCCTTTGATTTGCTGCCGACAACTAAAGTGCCAAATTAACTGTAAAAAGCCAAACGAAATACAAAGTCTACACAGAGCTTCAAGGTTTAATCTGAACAGAGCGAACGACTTTGGTTCCTGCAAAGGTTTCTCCACCTTTGCACTTCCTTTATACTTTATGGGAGGGGCACTCACCTCCAAGCCTTACTCCCGAGTTGCCCCTTTTGTCTTAGCAGCTCTTGCCATCTGACAGCTCTGTGCAAAAGTGCACTGGGAATAGGCTCCCCTTGTTCCTCTGCCTTGTTGCTGCCAGATTCTGGAGGCTCCGGAGTCAGCACATAACTCCCAGATGGTCCTGGCCCCATCTCCGTACTGGACACAGGACCCTCCTCCAAGTCCTCCGCAGATTCCCAGAATGGTCCTTCTTCTTCCCCACTGTCCGATTCTGCTGCCATCTACACAGGCTGCCGGCGAACCACAACATCCTGGTTCACTGGGCCATAGTCAGGGTCTGAAACCTTTCGCATTTCAAAAATCCTTGCCTGATCTTGTCCTCCATGGCACAGCTTTACAGGTGGCCCTGGGCTCTCTGGCCAATGGGAGGGAGAAACATAGAATAATAGGATTGGAAGAGACCTTGGAAATCTTGCAGTCCAACCGCCTGTTCAAGCAAGAGACCGTATAACGTTCCAGACAAATGGTTGCCCAGTCTGTTCTCCAAAGCCTTCAATGATGGAGCACCAACATCTTTTGGAGGTGAGCCATTCCCCTAATTAACTGTTTTCACTATCAGGAAAGTTCTCCTTAGTTCTAGGTTGGATCTCTCTTTAACGATCTTTTACCTTTGCTTTTTGTCCTGCTCTCAGGCACTTTGGAGAATAGGTTGAGCTGTCTTCTCTGTGACAGCCCCTCAAATCCCGGAAGACTGCTATCATATCATGCTTAGTCCTTCTTTTCAATAGGCTAGACCTACCTAAGGCTTGGGCAGGGAAAATGGGATGAGATCCTGGGACTGCTTGAGAGACACACAGGAAATAACTTAAAGAGCTGCTCCCTGCTGGGAAAGACAGCAAGCAAGCAAAATAATATCTCTGCCGATCCAAGGGAGCGAGGGAAGGAATCAGCCAGGGAGAAAAGAGGAGGACGCAAAGAAGAACAAGACTGAAGCAAAGGAAGTTCTCTGCTCAACAAAGAGAGAGAAGCCAAAGAAAAGCAGGGTTAGGACTGATCTTGCTGAGATATTTTTCCCTTGATTCTATCATCCTACACATAGTTTTTCAAGTTCATTGCATATTTGGTGATTTTAAAAAATGCCAGTAAAGTGGCCAAAGTGAAATGATTCCTTTGCACCCCTGCTTAAAAGTCTAGCTTTAAAAAAATAAAGTACTAAGTGTTTAATGGCATTCTATTTATTTTCTTCACTTCTGACTCACCTGGTATGAAAAGACTTTAGCGTTACATCCCTTTTAGGCTAATAAACTCATCCTTATGCAGCGCTTGCAACAAGACCCTCTGCCTTAAAGCCCATAATAAAATATCTTGCCAGGAGAGGGCAGCAGAGTTCCAGAAAGCTATTTTGACTAAAAGAAACACAAGCCAGGAAACCGGTCCTGGTACTGGAACAGTACAAGTAGAGGCACACGTATATATACACACATGTACATAGATATCCTTCAAAGGACAAAAACTGTAGGATGGATTAAACTGTGCAAGTGTCATCACGCTGGCTTTCCAGCAACTGCAGCCCAAACATGTAAAATAATTAGTAACTCATACAAAGGGAAGAAGGGTTGTGAGGTTCCTGGAATGAAATAATTCTCATAGCTAGCAGGAAGGTAGAGCCAAGGGCTCCTTTAGACTGTCATCATCATTGCCCATGAGCTCGACTGAGAACGTTGTTGGGTTTGATAGGGCTACGTTGGGACAAGAGGCTCCGAAAAATGTAACTGCAAATGAGTTGATAGACGGTGTCAAAATTCTATAGAAGACAACATAATCCTGATTACAACCATGGACCAATCAAAAAGCAAGGAACATCTTGGATGAGAAGCAGACAAATGAGGAAAGTAATCCAATGCACACCTATGCATTATAGGGTAAAGGATACCTGAAATACACGACTCTCTATAAGGAATCCAATCACAGGAATGCATCTGAGAACATCCCAAAGGTGCTTTTTTTGCAAGAGGAAACTGGACTTTCTTGTTGTTCTTTGAAGACGTTTCACTTCTCATCCAAGAAGCTTCTTCAGCTCTGACTGGATGGTGGGGAATGGAAGGATTTCCATTCCTCCAAATGGCCTCAACGACTCTCTAGAAGAATGCAAATGTCCAGCTGTCTGTAAGGAATATAAATCCGTCCATTCCCCACCATCCAGTCAGAACTAAAGAAGCTTCTTGGATGAGAAGCGAAACCCAGTCCAGTTGCCTCTTGAAAAAAGCACCTTTGGGACAACCATGACCTGGATGACTGGGAATCTCCACAGACATCTCAGAACATGCATAGAGGACCAGGATAGTGCAGAGCTTATTCAGTCCTTTCAGAGCGGAGCTGAACTGGGAACTGGAGCTACAACAGTTTGGTGTAGTGGTAAAGGTGCTGGACTAGAAACCGGGAGACTGTGAATTCTAGTTCCGATTTAAGTAGAGCTGGCTGAGTGAGTTGGGACCAGGGGTGAAATTCAAATACCTCGCATCACCTTGGGAGAGGGGGTAGGGACGATGTGAATCGGTTGGCCCTGCCCACACCCACCCGCCTTCTTCCTTTTAGAGACTGAGTCCCACCAAGCCACGCCCACCAAGCCACGCCCACAGAGCCGGTAGGGAAAAAAATTTGAATTTCACCCCTCAGCCCAATTCACCTCCCAGTGGTAGGGCAGAAAATAGGAGGGAGAAGTATCATGTAGATATCACCTGGAGTTGTATAAGGTGGCATAATAACAACAATTACAATTAAAAGTCAACAGACAAAGCTTAGCCAGCTGAAAGTGAACAGAATCACACTAGATCTAAGTAGGATTGGCATCCTAAACAAAAAAAATATATATTTCATAACGCTTCCCACTTAGAAGATCTAATTATATTTGTTATTATTTCAGTAACTTTATTTTCTTGCAAGTTGCTGTGACACCGTTTGATAAAACAGGCCAGAAAACTGGGCAAATAAAATGCTTCTCCCCTCCCAACCACATGGACTATTTCAGGCAAGCTGGGAAATTATACTGTTTGCACCCGTGACATTGTACAGCTCAACAATTATCAGTTTTGTCGACAGTGAAAATTAATTTGCTAGCGAATTCTAAATTTGTAATCACAGCTGCGGTGATACCTATCTATAAACCAAGAGAGAGAGAGAGAGAGAAAAAAGAAAGAAAGAAAAGAAATGAAGTCCATACCAATTTTATAAATGGAAATTATAGGGAATTGTTGATAAGTTTGGTTGTCCTTGCCAAGGGTTGTTAACAATCAACAGAGAATACAATTTCTTTATGTAAATGGAGACAAGGGTCCATAATAAAAACAATTACTCAAAAGCCACTGCTTAAATAAAGAAAAGCCAGTCTGGACTATGTATGTTGTGCATAATAATTAATACCATTATGAGAAATATGGTATCAATTAATTAAATTGTAATTAAAAAGACATACCTTCATATGCATAAACATATATCAGCCCCTTAAATAAAAATCCAAGGACAAACTCTAAAATAGACTTAAGAATGTTTTAATAGAATTGAAATGATGAGATTCACATATTTTCAATTACAGCTCCCTTCCCCCACTAGGGAAGAACAGATCACTTTGCTTCACCAAACATTTTATCCTGGACAGTCTCCTTTAGTGTATCCTGCTGCTTCCACCCAAATTTTACAGCTACCTATACCTATTTTTATCTCCTAAATCATAATGGGAGAGGGTGAGAATAACAGCAGAAATAAAAACCAAACCCTAACAATGAGAAACCAACCCAAATTCTAGTAGGGAAATATGCTCTTGAAAAAGCTTCCTCCCTAAGGCTACCAAAGTCCCTCCGTTGTTGCGTGCTGGGAGTTCATACAGAAATGAACCACTGCAACTACCAGATCTCTACCCACTAACAACCTTTCCGCTCTCCTCCCTTCCTTTCCCTTCCCCTCTCCTCCCTTCCCCTCATCTCCCTTCCCTCCCTTTCCCCTTCCCTTCTCCTTCCTCTTCCCTGTATGTATCAAACATAACCAGCTCTTCTGGAAAGTTGCTAGCAAGTGAAATTCCATCTCCTTCCCCAAACCTTGAACTTTTCAGAAAAAAGTAAGGATGGGAAATGGAAGGATTCTGAAGTGCTATCATCCTCAGCATATTCTTGGGAGTAATATGTATCAAGGGCAGATTTGAAGCAACTGCCCCTTCTCATGGTCACTCATGCCTTGTCACCTTGCATGCAGATTACCGCAATGTCCTCTACCTGGGGTTGCCCTTGAAGACCATTCAGAACTCCGGCTAACCCAGAAGAGCACCAGTGTGGGCATTAGAGTTGTGCCTTGGTATTGAACCTCTTTGAGTTTCTGGCTACAACTTTGGTTGTCACGCCAAAAATGTTTCATGGCACAAGGCCTGGATAGCTGAGAACCAGCCTTTCTGTCATTGTTATTGACTGTCCCCTAAGATCTGATAAAGTGGATTCATACTGTGTTTCCCTCAATCTAACAATGCCCATCTGATGGAGCCTAAGAAGCAGGCCTTTTGTCATGATACCTGCCCACTGGAATAGCATCCTCCTAGAACAGTGTTTTTCCATCTTGGCAACTGTTAAGAACTTCTGGGACTTCAACTCCCAGAATTCCTTAGCCAGCATGCTAGCAAAAAGATGGCAGGAGACTTGCGCTTTTGAATCAAAGACAGCAAAATAGAGGGTGATACTGTGTTATCCTGCTTATCAGTTTCCCAGAGACATCTGTCTGGTTACTGCAGAAATATGAACTGCTAGGATTTTGCAGCGAGGTGTTTTTTTTTTAAAGTACAAAGTAATCAAAAACCACTAAACCTTTCTCCATCTTTTCCTATAGCAGAGAGACAAAAGACTGTGTAGCAATTAAACCAGAAGACAAATCCACATGCAGACTTACAAATTGGGATGCTGAATTTTTATAAAGCCAAATCCCTGATCCATCTAGCTTAGCACTTTCTACGTTGGCAGTTTTCCCAATACCATTTTAGAACATTGCCCTCAGTCTTAACTGAATCTGGGACATTTTCCATGCAAACTGTGAAGTCCACTATTAAATTACAGCCTCCCACATTTCTTGCTTTTAAGGCTGAAGTTCTGGGGAAGAGAACAGAAATTGGTCCCATATCATGCAGAGATGCTGCATGAAGACCAGCCTCTAGAACTGTGGACACATGGCCAACGTTAATCAAAGGCAGCCTGTCTTTCTGGATTTAGGGTCATGTCCCCTTTTGCTCCTGCAGAGTGTTCAGTGATCAAGTGTAGGAAAGGGGATAAATGGCAAAGGGAAATCATGTTTCCAAAGAATGCAAATGGGTTCTAAGTTAGCCAAACAGAAGATAGAGTAAGATTGGGAGATTCTCCTCAGAGCTGCATTCAAAACAGAACTCATTTGGCAGCAATGTTGCTACTATTTAGCAAGGAATGAACAGGAGCAAATAACTTAATCTCATTATGCCAGATCTGTTCCAAAATAGTTCCCCCCTCCAAACAAAGTACAATTTGCATTTCTCGCTAAATATATTTGTGCGAGAGAGAAAGACAACCTGGAAAAATACTATCTGAACTGCTGATGTTATGACACAGAAGGAGGAGGAGAAGCAGTCACTTGGATTGATTAAATGAGCCTTAGAGCTATTTCCCATATCCTGCATAGATTTCCCAAGTCAGATTACAAAGCAGGCAAAACCACTGCCCAGCCACTTACCAAGGTTACTGCAAAATTCGCCCACCATTCCATCCGGATTAGCTGTGGGAATCTGGGTGAGTCCAGTCAGGATAAGAACATCACTGTTCTTAAGAGAAGCCTGGTCCATGGGCTGAAAGGCGAATTTGAGAAAAATCATTTGTTTAATAAATGGACAGTGCCGTCCACCTTAAGCAGAAGGTAAAGAAAAAACCATAGAAACACAATAAACAAATAGAATTCATTAAAGAAAACCTAGCAAGGGCCCTTGAAAATTGCTCTAATAACATATACTTGCTATATACATACATCATCCTATATAAGCATCAAGGCCCCAATGATTGAGGCCATAGTCTTCCAGAAGGCTAATGGGGTCAGGATCATCCAAATCTTGGAGTGGGGGGGGGGAGGTTTCATCAGGTTGTTTCACCAAAGTGACCCAAAAGCACTTTGCCACTGTCAGGGTTCCAAGTAATACGCCCATAGCAAAAAAAAAAAAAACCTCTGAGGCAGGTGGGTTCCTCAAAGAATAGTTTTATTGGACACATTGTATTGGCACAGGCTGGTGAAAACTGGCTCTAAATGTTCCTGGAAAATGTTTTCACCTTAATTAAAAGTTTTTCCCCTTTCCCAAACAATCAGACACACGGTCCAATCAAGGCATCATCCGGTTGCCTGGTAACATCACTCCACCTGTGGGAATGTCCTTGGTTCCCAAGAGAAAGTAGTTTGGTTTGGCTACAAAACCCCAGTTATTTTTATTCTCCCCCTCCCTATCCCTCAGCTCCAGTGTGGGAACACTGAAGCCTCAAAATGGCTTTGGTCAGGCCAGCTTCAGGGTTGACAGCCACATCTGTAGAACAAACAAAAACTATTGGGGATAGTCCACAAATATTTCATGAGAAGAAATAGTTAGGCAAGTACATTTAAAAGATGTGCCTTATTTGTGGTGGCTTCAGGGAGTTTACAAAAGATCACCCTTTAGTAGAGAGTTCCACAACTTCACTAAGCAGATTTGCATGCAGCCTCAGAGTTCATCCAAAAGCTACTGCTGAATTATATATTGATTGAATTATAGAAAAGAGAAATTATTAAAGGCAGCAAAGCAACCATACTCACTTTTCATTACATTTACATTTACTAATTGCCTGGCTCTATCCCCATTTTAAAGGGCAGTTCTGTACATGCTACTCAAATGCCGATACACCTTATAGTTATCCTAAAGACATTGTAGACTCTGGATTTGCTAGTTTTGAAGTTGACAATGAACTTCTGTCTTGCAAATATATTGAGCTAGTTGACTATACACATACCAAAAATGTATTTTCAACTCCAAATAACAAAGCACATGATAAGAAACCAGAGTCCAAGAAATATGTGTCATATAGATGTGTTGTTTAGTTACAACTCTTCTTGTTGAGTGTATCTTAGGAACTAATATTTTTTTTAATCTTCTCAGATATACCTCTACCTTGTCTTGGCTTTGAGGAACAAACTGGATGTAAGATACCAGCTATTTATTGCAGCTGCCAGCAACAACTAGCCTCCTGCCTATGTATACCTTGCCAGTATATGTGGTTCTTAAATGCTGACAAATGTCTCCTGGACAATTCTGTCTATGCTGTTTCAAAAGGTATCTCTGTCCCAATGATGGAAGGTTGGGCAAAAGCCAACAATAAACAAACAGTGTGACATAGTGGATGGACAAAAAGTACTTAAGAGCCACTTTCTAAAAACTAACACACAACAAAATGCAGTAGCCATGGGATGCTTGTCAAATGAAAATGCCAATAAACCAGTAAAAGTATCATTGAACTGGCTGTGGGAAATACACATAATGGTCATGCAGGATTCAATAGTCATAATTTCATCTTCTATTGACCCAAGGTGCTACTATTGATTCCCGGAGTCAACCTTCAAAATAATATACTTTAAAAGACTTTTGACAAATCTTCTGGGCTGCCCTAACTCCTTCCCCTGCCATTATCAGCTCCAATTTTGCTTTCTAAGTCAAGAGTCAATTTTCATAAGTTATTGTTGCTGGGAGTTGTATTGAGGCAAAGTGTCCTTGTAGAAACTGCTCGTTTCAAATTTCAACCAGAAAACATCTTACGAGTTTCAGTCATTCTGAAGCAAGATAAAACTTTCTGATAGGAAGGGCTCAAAATTGATCAGCCTATCAAACAGTGCGCATCTTGATGCTCCCAGAAAGCTGAAGTCAACAGTCTTCTCAGGAATATGATTCTACAGTATACTTTCTTTGAAAAGGGAAGGTCTATTTAGCTATAATTCTTGTGAAGTTCAAGCTGCAAGTGCCATTGCTTAGGGTAGACCAAAAAGACTTCTTCTCCTTTCAACACCATGCACAAGACATATGAGAACATTTCCAGGAACTCCAGAGTCCCAGGACTGAGAGGGGTCACTTTACAAATTTAAATAGTCTTGCCTTCAGAAGTTGTGGATACTCCATCACTAGAGGCTTTTAAGAAGTGATTGGACAGCCATTTGTCTGAAATGGTATAGGGCAGTGGTCACCAACTGGTGGGCCGGGGACCACTGGTGGTCCGCAAGAAAATTTTGGTGGTCCACAGAGAAATGTTATCGTCCCCAAGTATTCCCCCCAAAGCAATTAATCCAGGCTGCGCTGAAACTCAAGGCTGTGCTGCCCACATGGCCCACCCACTCACTGGCTCCCACCCTTCAGCCAAGCGCAAATCTTACCTTGAGTAGAGCCACGCAAGTCGGAACTGGAAGGTAAGACTAACGGCGGGGGACAAAAATCCACCCCGGGGTGGCTTGCTGACATTAGTGGGAAAGTCGGTCCCATATTCCAGAGCTGCAGTAGTCACAAGAATGGCCCTTTGATCATCCAGGAGCAGCTCCTCCAGTCCCTGGCAGGCTGGTGCACCTGGGTGGAGAAGCAGCTGCTCCGGGATGACCAAAGGGCCAGTCCTGTGACTACTTCTGGAATATGGGACTGACTTTCCCACCAACAAGCCACCGTCAGTCAAAATTCATATTAGTGGTCCGTATGATTTAAAATTATGAGTTTGGTGGTCTCTGAGGTCCAAAAGGTTGGCGACCCCTGGTATAGGGGTTCCTGCTTGAGCAGGGGGTTGGACTGGAAGACCTCCAAGGTCCCCTCCAACTCTCCTATTCTGTTAAATTCCATATTGGGAAGACGCAACAAGTTTCAGAAGAAAATCCTACAAGAATTCTGAACAGTCCAATGAGATCCCGGGGTACTGATATAGAATGCTTGGGGTGGGGGAGGAAGGACCCCAATGGGGAGGAGTATTCAAATACTTTGCACTTTGTACTCTGCCACAATTTGACAGAGTTTGTCATAGGCTTGTTTTTTCAAAGGCAGTATATGGTTAGAGTCTTCTAACGTTGCTTTATTTCTCTTGAAAGTCATATAAGGCAATGTCAAGTTTGGCTATCATCCTTTCAAAAAAGGATATTTCCAACAGTGATATCAATGAAGCCTGGCATCAGTCTTGTTGGAAAATATGCTGCATTCAATCCCTTTTTTTAAAAATACGTGAGGACAGGGAAATCTTTAACATTTAAACAGAGAAGCTAACAATAAGTAGGAGGCTTACAGTGAACCATGTTAGATTGTTACTGTATGACTCATTTATAGTGCCTAGCAATAAGCGTAAATACACATTAAAAACGTTAGCTTGTAGCAAGCATGGACAATCTGATGTCTGTAGGCATTTGAGTCTACAACTCCATGTCAACCCTCGTCACCACAGCTAGTGATTTAAGAATATGGCAACTGTAATCCAAAACATCTAAAAGAGAAGATTTCCAATTTTTGCTTTACTTCTTAGTCATTTGTGTTGCTCTTTTCTGCATCTTTTCCAGCTCTAAATATCCTTTCTCAAATGCAGTGATTAGAACTGTGAAAACTATTCTAACTATGATCAAATAGAGGAAAGTTGGCAGTAGCAGCCTTAGTTTTGATTCTATTCCTAATCATTTCCAACATGGATGATTCCCCCCCCCCCCTCCAACAGGAGACACACACGAAGTCCATTTGGCCACCGCAACCTTAGGAATCCTTCAGTACAGTCGCTACCAGCTCATAAAATCTCCACAGCATAAGTAAAGTTGAGATATTTTCTTGTTCCAGCCTCAGCATGCATCATGTTTATTTTAATACAGGTAGTCCTCGACTTACAACAGTTCATTTAGTGACCATTCAACATTACAACATCACTGAAACATGTAACATCCCCATGGTCATGTGATTTGCGTTTGGATGCTTGACAACTGATGCACATTTATGACAGTTGCAATGTCCCGGAATCATGTGGTCCCCTTTTGCGACCTTCTGACGAGCAAAGTCAATGGGGAAAACCAGATTCACTTAACAACCATATTATTAATTTAACAATTGCAGTGATTCGCTTAACAAATGTGGCAAGAAAAATCATAAAATGGGGCAAAACTCACTTAACAAATTTCTCACTTAACAACATAAATTTTGGGCGCATAGTCCTTCGATGTTCCTTTTACAGAGAGATTTGGAAAAAAAAACATATCCTTCCAATAATTGCTATGTATCCTGACTGTTCCGACACTGCTTGTCTCCAGTGGCTGCAGTTTCTGGATAGTGAAGTGTGTTGTGATTATGTGTTAGCAGTGAAGTGTTTTAGTTATGGCTGGACCTCATGCACCTCAGCTCCAGCTGTTGTTGGTATGGGAACTGGTTAATTGTGGAGATATTAGTTGCAAAAGCTTTTATGTAGATGCTAAATATGACACCATAGGAACAGAGTCTTCCTGTGGCTTGGGAGAGGTGGAGACTGTGGGTCACATAGTCCTTCAATGTTACCTTTACACAGAGATTAGGAAAAAACATATTCTGCCAACAATTGCTACATATCCTGATTGTTTTCGACACTGTTTATCTCCAGTGGCTGCTTAAGGATGAACAGTCCATAACTACAGCGCAGGTGGCTAGATTCTGCGCAGCAGCACTGGAGATTCGCCGGAAACATATGTGTAATCCACCATAGTTATTTTATACAACAAATGTGGCAAAGCCTTTGCGCTGCTTATTCCTTTCCCTTTTAGTATTAAACTGACAACAGGCCACCCAGTTTATGGATTGCCATTTTAGTAGAATTAGACCATGTATTATTGTCAAGACTGGATTTTATCACAGATTTTAGTTGTTATTTATTTTATACTAGAATTTTTAATTGTACATTTACTGAGTGTTTTTATTTGTTCTGGTCTCTGGTCTATGACCATAATAAACTGAATTGAAATTGAATTTTGGGTTCAATTGTGGTCGTAAGTTGAGGATTACCTGTACATGCATTTGTTTCAATTCATGTCCTTGAATTATTGTCATTTTACAAGTTGCCTTGAAGGCTCATAGGGAGCAGCAAGGTCAGATATAACAAAACTACTTACACTACCAGCATTTCCCAATTGTAAGGTAAAGAGCAACCAATTGTCTGCTCAACGCAGGACACCAGAATGGAATTCCTAAAAGACCACCCCTTACCCTGTATATCCTTGCCTCCAAATGAAAGAAATCCTCTGCATATATTTTTCAAATGGTCTCTTCCGCTGCCAGACATATTTTTAGAGTTTTTTTCTAAAACATTGAGTCAAAATTTGCCTGCCTGCAATTTATTCAGAACTGATAAGCTAACTTGTAATTGCTTTGAATTCCCGAGACTTTAAAAAGGGTTTTAAACCAATTATTTCCCAGTTTTCTTATTCAGACGCTAACACCAGGAAAATGTCATGTGTTCTTGTTTTAAAACATCAGCCACTGTATATTTGAGTTCTTGGATGGATACTATTTAGTTTGGTATTGATTTCAGTCTGTGAATATGGCCTAGACCAGTGTTTTCAAACAAGGCAACTTTTAAGATGTGTGGATTTCAACTCCCAGAATTCTCCAACCAGCCTACTGGGGAATTCTGGGAGTTGAAGTCTACATATCCTAAAGATGCCAAGTTCAAAAAACACTGATTTAGAATTTTATACCTTGCTCCTAAATATTTGCTTTGCTTCCTCAGACACGCCTCCTAAAAACATTAGTTAAGACAGGTATATTTACCTTATATTTTTCTTCTACAATGAAGACAAAAGCAAATAATTAATTCAGTTTCCTTGCTAGGCTGTTTTTCTTTTTGGTACTATACCTTGCCAGTTGCTTATTTGTGATATTCTAAAATAAATGTTTACCAGTTGGTCCTAACATTATTAATATCACACTTCTCAACACCAAGCGCCTGCCTCATTGTCTCACAGCATGTTTACATTCCTTTTTGTACTTCTTGTCTGGGAATAACTTTGTTTTCTGAAGGACACCATTTCCCCCCCAAAAAACTTTCCTGAAATTTCTTGGTAACTATACTTAATGTCTTTTCTGGCCTGTAGAATATTTTTAAATGAATTTTTATTGTCACAGTTTTAAGCAACTGTTAAGTAATCTAGGAAGCCTTTGCTTCCTTTTTCTATCCCCTTTTTAGCAATCCATCTTAGCAGAAATTCCTCTTTTGAAATCAAACTAAGCTATGTTGGACATACAGGTTTTCTTTTCCATAACTTTAAATAAGGAGCATTCCCCCTTAGAATCTGAAAGGAGCTTATAATTGAATTTTCTTGATGTAAGAGCATAAGGAGCAAATACATCTTATTGCTGATTCCTTAGTGCAATTTAGTGTATAGGTCATCCTTTGGCATATCCTGGCAAGGCATTCATTCTCCTTTGCCACAACTCTTGTTAAGCCTACTAGAGGGTTATGTCTACAACAACCTGATTTTAACTTTTGATTCATCTGAATTTTGAATGAGACGTTTATGTACAGAAAGTGAGGGGCGTCTCTCAATTTATGGGAAAAGCAAAGGCTTTATGTATTGTATATATATCAAAGCAGATCTACTGTACAGCAGTGATCCCCAACCTTTCTTATGCCGCGGCCTGGTATCCCCAACCTTTTTTATGGCGCGGCCCGGTACCGGCATTAGCTGGGCGCCGCCATCTTTTTTTGATGGCTTTCTAGCCGGAAAAGCTCACCGGAAGCGCTGGCGCCGCCATCTTTTTTTGATGAAAAAGTGCTTCCGGTGAGCTTTCTACCCGGAAAAGCTCACTGGAAGCACTTTTTCATCAAAAAAAGATGGCGGCGCCCAGCAAACCAGCGGCCCGGTAGGACTTGTTCCACGGACCGGTACCGGTCCGCGGACCCCTGCTGTACAGTATATAAAAACTTTCACTCCTTATTCAGGCCATATGCCCCTTTCATAATCAATGAATTCCCAACCTGGGGTGCTCGCACACCCTGAGGGTGTGGGACCATATTCCAGGGAGTGCAAAAACGTGGGTTTAAAAGTTTCAAAATTATAGTGTACATGTATAATTATATGCATATAATTATTTATTTTTATAAGGGGCGTGAGAATATATCAGAAGTGTTCCAGGAGTGCAGGGTCTAGAAAAGGTTGGGAACCCCTGGATTAGAAGGATACTTAAAATGATAGCAAGGAGTTGCTCCTTTCATTCCCTCTTCAACCAAAGACTTTCCATTGCTCTTCCATTGAAGAGATACATAACCTCACTGTATCTATCCAGGTTTGGATTCTAATTGGAGTTCCCTTTGTAGAGTAGGACTTCCTTGTCTCCCATTTTTCTTCCTACTGCAGATCTCTGCACTCCATCAGAAACTCATGCAGGTGATTGGGGATTCTTGGTCATTATGTGTTCAGTATGCTGATGGCTTCAGTTCAAGAAAGCAGCAGCATAAATTCTGCATAAATCCATGCAGAAATCAAAATGGCCATCTCCCTCTCCATAAACTCAACCTGATTTAGGATATTGAAAAGGTATTGTGTGTGATAACCCTTATATAACAATCAAATAAGATAGCAGGGTGATAGGAGCCAACAGGATTGGAGGGATCCAGGGACTGGATCCAGGGTCCTCAAATCTAACTCTTGCACCCATTTTTATAGGCTCTTAACCTGATTGAACAAAGCAAGGGACTACAGTCAGGGTAAAAGTGAAATTGATGGAATCCAGGGCTGCACCTATGAAACTAGATAATCAATGACGAAGAACGCAAAGAATGGGGCTAGAATCCTTCCAGCAATGTCAACCCCAAGCAAGCTGAGCTTCTCCAATTCATGCAGAATATTGCCCCACAGGTAGGAAAATAGGGGAATTGCCATATGCCTACTATTTAAATCCAATCAACACAAACCACTGAAAAAGAGGAATGTCACCACCACACTCTTCAAAGATGTGGTACCTGTGGATGAGTTGTCAGGAGTGAGGATCCTGAGACATAGGAAACCTTCTCATAATGTGACTGGATGATCCAATTGGAGCTGCCCAGTGCATATCCAGAACTGAGAGGAGAGACTTGTACTGCACCAAAAAGCTCCTGTAGGAGGAAGGGAGAAGGAAACAATTGAATTCTGAATGAAACTATCCCAGAAGATAAATTTCCACATGTGCTGTTCTTATAGTGAGATTATTAGCTCACTGAGTTGATCTCCATGTTCGAAGGCAATAATACATCCATGGTAAACAAAATGGTGAATAACCAAGAACTGGAGAATGCTTAGGAACTATTATCTGCTTCTGATTTTCCTAGAAACTTTGGTTGGATTGCTGTGAGAACAGGATTTTGGACTTATATCTTCTTATATCTATATTTAAAGCTGTTTTCTCTTTCTTTCTACAATTAATTCAATGCTTATATTTAAGGCAGTGATATGAAAATTATTTTTTAGAAGGGATGCAGAAAAACACACACAAACGTGAAAAGCATCAGCAAAAAATTGAAGTTCTTTTAAAAGACTATACAAATAGAACATCTATGGCTGGCATCCACATGGATACATGAGAATGGATACACAGGCGTAACTGAGAAGGTTTGTGTGGAATTGCTTCCCAGATAAACCTGGAAGCTTTGAGCAGGAAGAAGGAATCTATGGATGTGACAGGTTTTTATTTCATTCAGATTTTAATACAGATAACAGATAACTATCCTATGATAAAATAGATACAGGAGGAAAGAAGACAGGTACAGATTTCTTCTCCAAATCCTTTTATTAGAGAAACTCACAATTTTCTGGGAATATCCCACCAGCTGGATCTTACTGAGTGCAGAGTTAACTTCCTGCATATTGTAGCATCTTCTCCATGTTGCAACTTCAACAGCATCTTTCAGGGGTGCAGGAAGCATCCTGGAATAGAGGCACATTTAGAGAATTAGGTCTTGCTTTGCCAGTGTAATAAAATTCTGGACTCATCTGCTAAAATTCCAGATATCAAAAGGAGAGAAAAGAATGGGTTGAAGAAGAGCACTTTAGCAAGCACCTTGATTCTCAACTTGTGCCAACTTACATCTAATGAAATGAGGTGAGAGCCTAGTCTTTATTTCTCTAGCATGTTCTATTTTTGAGAAATTCAAAGATTAGCCATCACTTTCACCCCGCTGCTGTCGTCTCAATGCCCTGTAAGATGGAATAGCTTCATCTCAAACAGCAAGATTAGGGTTGATCCAAGGTCCATAAAGGGACGTGGTGGCTCAGTGGCTAAGATGCTGAGCTTGTGATCTGAAAGGTCGGAAGTTCGGCGGTTTGAATCCCTAGCACCATGTAACGGAGTGAGCTCCCGTTACTTGCTCCAGCTTCTGCCAACCTAGCAATTTGAAAGCATGTAAAAATGCAAGTAGAAAAACAGGGACCACTTTGGTGGGAAGGTAACAGTGTTCCGTGCATTTAGTCAGGCTGGTTACATAACCACGGAGACATCTTCGGACAGCGCTGGCTCTTCGGTGAGATGAGCACCGGCCCCTAGAGCTGGAAACGACTAGCATGTATGTGCGAAGGGAACCTTTACCTTTAAGGTACATAGCTGAAGTGGACTGGCACTGCCAAACCCCATCTTCTGATACTATAAACCTATAGTGATCTCATTGAAACCAATCTAATTACTGTATCCTTCATATCATAGACAACCTTCAATCTTGATTAGCCTACAGGTAATTTTTGAAATAAAATGGTTTGCTGATGAGTTATGTTCCTGGCTATATTTTTATTCTTTAAGCTTCCTGCTTGGCCTTTTGCAAATGGATGTTTATGATTGGCCAGGTGAATAGATAGATCTGCTCTCTTTGACAGCTGCTCCACTCTCCAAAATCTTGATGGGCCTACCAGGAAGATTGGTGATTTCTGCACTAACTAGCAGAAAAAAACATCAGTTACACTAAGCAGGCATTTTACACAAAGAAACATGCCCGTTGGAGGTCTCAGTGCTTTCAACTGAGAACTCTTTCAGCTATTTACAGTAATTTTCTAGGCAGCCTGACTGGAATAGGATTTGGTGTGCTGCTTCCAGCCTTTCTTAGACCACACCAGAAAATAGTGCTGGAGGGGCTACAGTCCAATGCTTTGATCACCAGCTTGTTCTAATCTGTGCACTTTGCGCTGCCACATCTACCTGCCAGATGGTTCCTTTGGAGCAGCAGTCGCCAACCGGTGGACCGTGGCCCACTGGGGGGCCACAAGAAAATTTTGGTGGGCCACAGAGAAATCTCACCCCCAGAGCACCCCCCTAAAGCAATTAATCCAGGCTGCACAGAGACACAAGGCTGCACTGCCCACATGGCCCACAGGAACCCTCTGCACCCACTCACTCCTTACCCCGCAAACTTGCCTGCTAAATTGGTATTTTTCCAACCATCAGCTATTCTGCTGTGCCGGGAGATTTAGATTAGCTAGGAAGCAGGAAATGGTTGGATTTCTTGGTTTCTAGCTGGTCTTTAGGACTGAAGGTTCTATTATTCAGTGCAGACTCACGGAAAGCAAATTTTATGTGACAAACTGAGCTAGCCAATGGCAGATAGATCTCTGAATGAATCTTCTGTGAGCAACTCAATCTGCCTGCCTGCTTTGCCTGATTTTGGGTAAAAGTTGCTCTTTTTATAAAAAAAATCAATAGTTATATAAATATTTATAATATTTACATACAAGCCATGCCCAGCCAGTCACATGATCACCAAGCCTCACCCACAAATTAGGCCACGCCCATAAAACCGGTTAGTGGTCCCTAGGATTTAAAATGATGAGTTTGGTGGTCCCTGAGGTTCAAAAGGTGGCAACCGCTGCTTTAGAGAAATGGAAAAGAGAGAAGAGAGTAGCGGCATGCCTTTCTGCAACTGGGAGCCCTCCAACCTATCTGAGCCTGTAAACCCTCCAATTCCTGCCACCAGGAATTGTGGTCAAACTTATCTAGAAGGTAATGACACCCATAAGACACCTGGAGGGGAACAACAATTCTGTGAATTCTGTTATTATGATGACTATTTCGCTCCCTGGAAAAGCCAATGATTAAAAATACTGGGAAAGTGAGAGGAAAACATACAAGAAACAGCAAATGACAGCATTTGTAGCACATAAAAAGAATGGTTATCTCCTGGGACATAAATCTCTTGCCATACTAGGAAACCAGGCAGGAATGCAGTGAAAGCTGCCAAAGAGTGAAAGAAGGATAGGGTCCTTATTTTGTATATTAAACAGATACTAAATCAAAAGCCCATTCCAGCTCATTTCCAATGATTTATGGAAATTGGTCAAGTTTTGACAATTTGCTTATTTAAAAGAACTTAATTTATTGGGGAAGCTGTTGGGTCAATGACCTTCTTCCTATAATTTAAGACACCACAGGAAGCATTAATGATGGCTTCTGCCAAGATTGCCTGTGCACACAGTATGCAAACTGCCATTCCAATATATCCCAACAGAAAGCAAGGAACATTTTGTCCTCTTCTGATTAATAACAGAAACCTAAGGAATAGAATGACTTTTTCAAACGCACACAAAAAACATTATATCTAGCATTTTAAGCATAGCATTACAGATGTTTAGTGAAACACAGTAGCCCCTAAATTCATTTGCTATTTACAGAAAAATCTGGATTATTTGTCATCTGGAAATTCGAATGAAGCTCTTCTCTGGCGGTGAGGTTACATAATTATAAATGCTATGCTGATATCAACAGACTTAGCCGCGTAATTATTTCTTTCCTAATTCCAAAGGATTTATGAACAAGTTAAAAATGGAAATCATTGGGGGATTCCAATGTTTATTTCCATCCACTGTGAAAATTGCTTCATGGACCTTATACTCCACTTTATGACTTTTGAGAACTGCTTTTGAAGTGACTTGTTAAGTTACTTCCTTGCTGGAGCACTGAGGGGACTTTAGTTTTAGACATCAAATCATCTCAAGAAATAAGTAACATTGGATAATTGCGTATTATTTTCATTGTACTCATTTTTAATTCTAATTTCAGTCACGTTTTAGGCAAGGATTTAATATAGCGACAGCTTTGGTCATGCTTTTAGTTTTAGAGCTGTGACAGAGTTGGGATGGGGGTAGGTATCCATTGGGCTCCAGGAACTCTTGGCAGCTTTCAATACATTATTGTTTTGAGCTGATTCTGTGGTTTGGGGACATCATTTTACAGTGGTGCTTTTCCTTTCTCTGGGGCTGATTCTAGTTGGTGTCGTTTGGAGAAAGATATTTATTCTTTTCTTTGCCAGAAATACAGGATTTGAGAGCCCCAACTCTCTACCCGCTAGAGTAAGGTGGGAGAACTCCAAATGAGATGTTCCATTCAAGATAGGTGATGGCAATGAAATTTCTGCACACCACGTACATAGGCAGATATTTGTTGTATAGACCAGGGGATTAAGCAAGCTCCAACATGACTCAATAAAAGATGCAGGGTAATCTGTGTCAAGATTCATGGCATATACATTCAACAGCTTTGAAACTGAGAAGTATCTACTCAATTTTGATATAGAAGTTCATTCTTGGCTGGGAATTGCTGATTCTTGCCTCACCAAGTACTCTGCTCTAATTTCATCACCTCAACAGTATTCTGCCTTGTCTAAAATCTCATGGGAACTAGACTCCTGTCACATATTTGGTGTGTTCTTATTTGGTAAAATTAAGTCATATCTGGTTAAGTGAAGCTTACAAATCAAGACTTTGGACACCACATTGAAGGCAGCAGTATCTTTTCATGAAGAGAGTTGGTGTTTCACCAAAGGATTATAACATCACATAATAATATAATAAGGGTTAATTATGCTACTGACTCTGGTATTCAAATTTCTCAATTCCTGTTGGATATTGATTAGAGTCTCCATGATAATTTTTCAATTTCAGGACTATCTGAGGATGGAAATACGACAGTACCATTTAACATTGATGGGAGACCAACATCTTCAGAAGGGACAGAAGATTATCCTAAGAATTCTGACTGAGTTACGGAAAGTCGTTACTTGTTGTCATTCAGCTTTCTTTCTGTTGCTTTAGTTCAGATCCCAAGAAAATATCTTCCGGTTCTATCATCCAATGTCCATTTCCTATTTTCCCTTTACTTGCCTTTCAAACGGTCTAGACTTTCTTTGCAGGGAAAAAACAACAGCAATGGCACTTAGACCTATATACCACTCCATACAGCACTGTCTAAACCAGGGGTGTCCAACCTTGACGGCTTTAAGACTTGTGGACTTCAACTCCCAGAATTCCTCAGTCAGCAAAGCTGGCTGAGGAATTCTGGGAGTTGAAGTCCACAAGTCTTAAAGTTGCCAAGGTTGGACACCCCTGGTCTAAACGGTTTACAAAGTCAGCATACTGACCCCAACAATATCATTTTATGACCTCGGAAGGATAGAAGACTCAGTCAACCTTGAACTGACAGGATCAAACTCCAGACAATGGGCAGAATTAGCCTGCAATACTGCATTCTAACCACCGTGCCACCAGGGCTCGTCTTCCTGATGAACTTTTTCCACTGATATAATTCCTTGTGTGTGGCTAGTCAAGTGGCCAATCCTGCACCTAAGTAACATCCCAATGTGTCCCCTTTGGCTTTCCAACAAATCTCTCCAACATTGATAGAGAATGTGCCATTATTGACGAAGGGGAGTGAAAAGCATTACCTTTATTATAATCCATTATGACACCATTTGATTTACAAAGCCTCTATGGGGTTTGATGCTGTCAGCAGTTGGCTCATGTTGCACAGAGTAATGGGGTGGAAACATAAACTATTCCGGTGCACTTAGTATATTTTCTGAAAAGCATTTTTCCCAAGAACTCCAAAGCTTATAGCTTTACCAATAAAGATAGCAACTCAATTGTATGCAGCCTATTTAGGACTGAAGCAG